GTGAACGATCCTGCGGCCGTGCTTGCCAGGGCCTTGCCCCTTATCATCGAACTCCGTCTCCTCAAAGAAGACAAATGTCTGAACTTTGCCTTCCTTTCCGTAGTCGACCTGGGTGGGTGAATCAATTGCCTCCCTTCGGCTTCTTTTCTCTGCTTCCAGATATCCCCCCCTTCCCTCCTTCCCTTTCATCCTGACTTGTCGACCGCACAATGTGGCAGGGGAAAATCGCACCACCCTCCTTATACCCGGAGCCCGCGAGCTCGCGCTGGCAAGGGAAGCCTACCAGCCGGAAGGGAGGGAAGGAGGGGTAGTTGGTCGGGCAGTGGAGGGGATGGCTATTTCGCCAATGCTCTGGCGGCGGTCCTGCTCGCTCTGTCGAGGGAGGTTTGAGAAAGACGAGGGAGCGGCTGCCAAAAGGGCAGAGGAGTCGGGTACAGACGTGACGCTGGAAGAAGGGAGGGATGTGAGTGGGGACGGCGTTGGCTACTACTCTCCTGCTACCACCAAAATGGAGCTACCACCCGGTCAAATTTCACGGAAAATGGGTGAGTCTTGAAGTGGTGGACCAGGAGAAAATGCGTATGCTCAGCGTATTCATGCCTTACTCGGTCGATCTCCGCACGCCGGTCCCCGCATGTACAGATTTTATTCCTCCCCTCGCGGAGGTGCTCAGCAGCGGGTGGCGCGTCCCCTCGGAGGTATTGGCGGAGGTCGCAGCAGAGGAAGGGGTCGTGGACGTAGAGACGAAACACACTTGTGTGCCTGGACATGCTTGTTCCTTATTGCGGCACTATTCGCTGCCTTCCGCATCATGATTAGGGCCCGCAGCGAATGATAACAATTAATTTGTGACTTGTCAAAAGAATGCTTCATTTCTCGTAGCAAAATTTAGCCACTATTGCTTTCTTGTATATCTAGTAAATAGTAACTACTGAATGCAAAGGCCATCTATTGCGTCGGAAGGTTTTCTTTCGACTTACGCGTCTGCTGGAACGCATTGCCTTTATCCGTTAGCTCGCCGTACGTTATTCATTTCTTTATCCCATGTATTCACCCGCAGACCTCTGATTCCTCATGAAGTCCTGTCAAATAGCTGGTAAATATAGAGGGACTGACGCCTGGTAGTGCCATTCCTGCCTAAGACCAGCTAAAATGACCCTGAATACGTGCCTGCTATATGTAACCTCCTGGCTGGCTATATGTAGAAAGAAAAAGCAACCATTCTGACCACCCGGGTGGGAAATCCCTCCCCTCCTGTTTCAATAAAATCACTTTGCAATGCACTCTTGCACCGCACTCTGGGGTCATGGCACTCTTTTTTCGTTAAGGTTGAGAGGAAAAAAAAGAGGGATAAGGCAGGTTTCCATTTCGCTGCAGTTTTGCGTCTTCCACTTGATCGTCTCACACGAATTTTGAAAACGCCTTCTCTTCAACGCCCCCACGGCTCCCTCTGCTGCTTCCTTCCTCTTTCTCCACAGGGCTAAAGCGAGCACCGTGACGTAAGCACATTTAGCCATGGTTGACAAACGAAGCCTGCTTTCGTCGGAGACTGCGGATGAATTGGGCGGGTATTCCTCTTTTCCCCCCTCAAGCAGCGCTACTTTGCAGGAAGGGCCCTCCAGTGGAAACAAAAAAGGCTGTCGGGATCCCCTTTTTCTGGTCGCTTTCATCCTGAATCTTGGTGAGAGGGTCTTTGAAAAAGAAGTCGTACTGTGGAAAGAAACTACGGGGCTTAATTGCCCGCTTAATCCCACCTTCCTTATCTCCCGTCACTTCTCCCTTTCTCCCTCCCTTCCTTCCTCCTCCTGCCACTCACCCTATCCTCCCTCTTTTTCCCTCGCCCTACTCCTACTAATCATATTCACTATCTCGGACAATTTCTCAGGCGTTATAGTCTGGCTGGCAGCCGATTACGGAGCAAGCGCACTTAGAGATGCGCCACCTACCCAGGACGAAGATCCAGCCAAAATGCATGACGGTGAGTGAGGAAGGGAGTAAAGAGAGCGAGAACCAGAAAAGGAACAAAAGGATCGAAGCACAGAGAAGAAGTACGAAATGAAGCTTCCCACAGACATTCATTTTCGCCTCGCGCTCTCCTTTCCGCCACATCTCCTATGCCCCTCCCCCCCAGGCCATCCCCTTATTATCCTTTGTGCGGCGCTGGCGGGCGTAGCAGGCGTCCTCGCAGGGGCTTGGATGACCTTCATGATCAGTACCGCACGAAGACTGATAAAGTACATTTCAAACGCACAGC